AGAACCGCAGCAGGGAGGAGGCACGCGCAGGGGCAGTAATGAACCTGGTCGTACTTGTGATCAATCTGTTGGCGGGAATCGAACCGTTGATCCGATTTCCCGCCATTTCTCTCACCCCCAATGTGGAGAACCGCAGCAGGGAGGAGGCACGCACAGGGGCAGTAATGAACCTGGTCGTACTTGCGATCAATCTGTTGGCGGGAATCGAACCGTTGACCCGAATTCCCGCCATTTCTCTCACCCCCAGTGCTGTCTCTTATACACATCTAGATGTGTATAAGAGACAGGAATATGGTTTACCGAGCAGTTCTATTTGTGACGATATATATATATATATATACTCTCTCTCTCTCTATATATATATAGATATCTATCTATATCTATATATATATTGCGGATTCGCGAAAATTAAGTTCAAGTGTGTCGAGCCCTGCAAGTCCTGGCTGCGTATAAACTGTTCCTGGTGCGTTACAGCCCCGCTGCTGGGAGGCACCTCTACCGCCTCGGCTACCGTAGTCACTAACATAACAAGCCAGCGGGCCATGTCTCCAAGTTCCGTAGGAAGGACGCAACTAGAGTCTGTCGCGTGCTTCCGTTGGGATCGGAATGTTCACTTCGGCTTACACGTTTTTCTCTCTTCATCACGGCTCTCTTACAACGTTACGCCTGGTTGCCCAAGCCTCAGGGTCAATCAAATCCGCGCGCTACTCAAAGCGCGGAATAGGGTGTCAACGTCGCGTAGTGCGTATTCCACCTTGCTCGTGTTTCGCAGTCGGAGATATGGCGGACGGAGCCCGACATCCACCACTACAACATGCTTGGCGTTCGCTGCGTACTTAGTGCGCGACGGCGCCGCCATCAGCAGGTCTCTCCCGCCCGTTCTCGTTGTGATGTTCTCTAGCATATTTTGTATTAGTATCAGGGCCTCGCCACACCACTCTCGAAATGTGAAAAAGACAAAAATGTGGCTGGCGCATCTGGCCATGATCTAGGGGGAAGTTCATCCTCATTTTGCACATGTCGAGACTGGTGTGGCCATGGCCTTAGTTTGTTTATTGTCATCTGTATGGTTCCTTTTTTTCTTTCTGAAAGTAAACAAAGGAGATTATAATTCGGGGTTGGTTGAGGAGGTATTGTGAAGGAGGAGGAGGATGCGTGCTGTGGTTGCCCTTTTTCTTTTTTTTTTTTTTTAATGTTGCCAGTTTTGGTKYTTGGTTGTGTTTGTTTTKTTTTTTKTTTTTTTTTTKTTTTTTTTTTTTGGGGGGGTTCGGGGGGAAGGAGGACGTGGTTATTGTTGATGTTCTATTTTAATGAACTTTCCTCTGGTTGAATTTGTGCGCAGATGATTCGAAACGTTATGGCCAGTACGTGCGGGAATTCTCAGAGAAGGATCGGAGTATCTTCTCCATGGCTTCACCAGAATCTTCTCTCCGCGATGGCATGCTGTCAGGTCTGCTTCTGATTGATAATCATGATGGCACTGCTCGTGGAGTTAGAGGTGGAGGAGGTGGAGGTGGAGGTGGTGGAGGGCGCGTCTATTGCAATCCTCCCGTATCTCCCATAAGTAGATCAGCACCAAATATGTCCAGTCCCATTCTGGGTCTATCTCTGAAGATCCCGAGAAGTGGACCCAGTTCTGCCTGGAACTATGGGGCCAGTGGAGGTCAAGAAAACCTGATGACGTCAGCACGCAGGGTCGCTGCCACGTCAGCATCTATGGTGTCCTCTTCCAGAATGAGCCCCCCCCCCCACGATGGTGGTCCCGTTTCTCAGCCACGTCTGCATCCAAGTTGGGCTGATTCTGCAATCGGACACCAGGCAGATGCTGCCACGTCAGCATTCATGTTATCCTCTGCCGGAGCCACGTCAGCGACCAAGTTGTCCTCTGCCAGAATGAGCCCCTCACGCGAGGCAGGCGGTCCCGTTTCTCAGCCGCGTCAGCATCCAAGTTGGGCAGATTCTGCACTTCGCCAGTCATATGCCGCCACGTCAGCATCCTTGTCCTTTTCTGCTAGACTGGCGGGTTCCTCCCACGAGGGTGCTCCTACTGCTCCTCAGCCACGTCAGCATCCATCATGGGCTGATTCTCAACAATCAAGGGTATGTCCAGCAGTGTCCCCAAGGGAGAGCTCGGCCCTAGCCTCCCTTCTCCTCTCCTCGGGCTATAGTACGTCTTTACCTGGCCAGCTAAGGTCTGCTGCTGCTCCTCCTTTAGGCGGTGCTGACAGCAGCGGTCATCTGACGTGTATTGGCTTTTCACCAAGATCGGTGGATGGCGCCAATGCTGCTGCTGGTACGTCGATAGAGGACGAAAGAGATCAGTCATATCTGCACGCGCTGACGTCAGCAGCAAAACACGTGGCGACAGCTCCTGTAAGACACGTGGCACCAGCTCCAACGGCGACTCGTCCTCGTGCCTTGTCGGTATCTGCTGCTGCTTCCAGGCACACGGCTACAGCTCCCTCCGCAAGACACGTGGCAAGCGCAGGCGCCTCATCGACGCAGTTTGAGCCTTGGCAGGTGAGTAACTGTAGTAGAGCAGCGGTTAACGATGTCTGTGATTCTGCCACGTGGCGATTCCTGGATGGCCCCACTCTAACAGAGGATGACAACACACAGACAGCTGTAGAGAATCTGCAAGTTGCAGAACGAAGGGATCGGGACCTGTCTCGATCGCGTCAGAACTTTCTCGCAAGGTTGGCAGTCGAGCAGGATGATCGTGGACTAAGTCTTTTGACCGATCAAAGACAAGCAGATCTTTCCCCGAAGTTTCACAGTCCTCATCCTGTCGAGATAGCTTTGCCATTGACACGTGGCGAGTGTGTGTTGCGGTTGCGCAGACGAACTTTCGCGGAAGACTCATCGCAGGAGAGCACACAGAATCCAGCCGCTGCCGTTGCCGCCGCCGCCGCCGCCGCCGCCGCTGCTGCTGCTGCTGCTGCTTATGTCCCGACAATATGGAGCGAAGGACAATTGTGGCCACCACGAAGAGGAGGGGAATCTCTGTCATGGTGTCACCATCGAGAACCGCAGCAGGGAGGAGGCACGCGCAGGGGCAGTAATGAACCTGGTCGTACTTGTGATCAATCTGTTGGCGGGAATCGAACCGTTGATCCGAGTTCCCGCCATTTCTCTCACCCCCAAT